TAGAGAGGAGCTGAGAGGATTAGAGGGAGGTAAATCTATGAGGATGTGTTATATGAAAAAAGAATCTATATTTAATAAAAGGAAGGTGGAAGAAGATATAATGAGTCATCTGAATAAAGGAAGAACAAGACCTAATTTTTAAACCTCAAACTTCAAATACTAGCCCTAAAATAAAATAGAATTGTATTTTATATTCATTTTAATGGTTTTTATAGTGAAGTTGTAGATGATAGAATGAATTCATTTAAAGTGTGTGTTTTAAACTTAACTGAGATTCTGAATAAGCATCATTGTGGTGGGAAAAATAATATACAAATCTTCAACACTGTCTGACCTCCTTGTGGATGAAGCTTTCTGAATCTCTTCAGTAAAGCACATTCACTTTTAAAGTCTCCTATGATATTTGCATGTTGCTCTTTCAGGTTCACAGTGTTAATGATGTTGCCTTTCATGTATACCTTTGATATATAAAAGAGAATTATGTATTGAAAATATTTGGAAATGAATATGCATTTCACAATGTTTTTCTTTTTCGTGAACAGGTATTATCACTGATGACTATCTATCTATGAGCTATCTCTCTTCTATCTCTCTTTCATCTCTCTATCATCTATCTATCATATCAGATAAATTTTTGTGAAAATCTATTATTTAATAAAAATACCTATGGTTCAACAATTGTTAAAAGAATATGGTTTTAAAACCAAAAGACTGAAGGACATGCATGCACTTGTCACTTTGTCAGATATAGCATGAGCCTTGGAATCTTGACATCACAATGGCCTGCCACCCTGACCACCAAAGATCCCTCAGACTTCAGTGGTTGGTTTACCAACTGCAGTGTTCGGTTTGGTATTTAGTGCCTAGAAGGAAAGCGATAATTTCAAGGACCTTGATTGGTGCTCAATTGCAGGCTCCACTGTAAAGGTATGTATATAGTAACTAATTTGATTCTTATGACAGTCTAATGGATCAGGAAGTGTTCTGTCTTGATTCCTTCAGATCATGTGTACTAACTTTTAACTCAGCAGTGCCTTCATAACAAGTTACTCATTAGAAATATTCAGTACCAATACTCTAAAGAAACAAAGTTGTCAGGTATGCTTTGAGCTTCCAGGAGAAACTTTTCTATAAGTCTTCAAACAATACCTATCTTGGACAGGAAATTGGATTATTTTTCTACACTAATTGTTTTTACCCACTATGAACACAAATTTTGGTTGTAAACTGGTCAGATTTCAACCTAGAGTCTATGAACTCTCTAGTTTTCAGGAAATTCTTATTTTTTCCCTAGATATATTGTGTTTTTTTTTAAGTTTTCAATATTTTAATGTTCATTCAGATAGAAAGGAATCACTTTTGAAACATGTTCATTTATTTTTAATTTTGAATATCATGAAACTGAGTTGGTAATATTTTTGTAAAATATCTTTACATTATTGTAGGATGTGTGTGATGATAACCATTGGCTGCTGTTCCTCCTGACTCCTTGAATCTCATAGGTCTTAAATGCTTTCTAGGTAATAGCTGGTGTCTTTCTACATATTCATTGAAAGACATATCATATGTTTTGGGCAGCATGATATTCACTTAATATATGTTTTAATATTTGAATTATATGAGCAGGGTACAGTAAAGAAACCACCCAAAGAGTACCTATCAATCTATTTGTCTATTGATCTGTCATCCATCGGTCTCTATATTCTGTCCCTCACCTATATAACTTTCATATAGGTATACATGGTTGTGAAAATATGTTGTTCCTTACAAAAACTTACAGTTCAACAATTGCTAAAAAAAAAAAAACACCTTTAAAGCCACTAAGTATAAGGAAAGGAAACGTATGTGTCACTTTGTCAGATGGCATGAGCCTTAGACTACTGACATCACAATTGTCCTACAGCTTAACTACTACAGAGCCCTCAGACTTCAGTGGTTTGTCTACCAAAGGCAGTCACCAGTTTGGTGTTCAGGAGTAGGAAGGCAAAATAAAATTTCAAGTCCATCTGTTTATTGTCCTGCTTGTTTTTAACTATCTCGGTTTGTTGTCTTGCTTATACTTTGACTCTTTGCATCTATTGTATAGCTAGTTCCTCAATCTAGAACTGACTTTAATAGTTGCATGTAATTTAAATGGTATAAAAGCAAAAAAGGAGGAGGAGGGATTGGATAGGGGATTAAGTGGGGAGGTTGAATGGGGAAAAGAATGACATTTGAAATATAAATAAATGAAATATCAAATAAAAAATTATTTCGGTGAAAGAGGAAGAAAGACTAAAACAATAAAAAATTCCCTTCCAGGCTGCCCGGAAAAGGTATTTTTATAACTAATTAGATTCTCATGATAGATAATCATATCAGGTAATGTTCTCTCTTCATTCCTACAGATCATATGAGCTAACTCTCAACTCAGCAATGGTTTCTTGAAAAGGTAGTCATTGTAGGAATATTCAATACAAATCTTCTGTAGAAAAATTATTCTGTGAGGAGAGGTATGCTTTGGGCATACAGGGAAAGGATCCTGTAAATCTTAAAAAAAAAAGAATCTTCCTAAGTTATGATTGATGATTATTTTATATGTAACACAATTGTTTTAACCACATGAGTACAAAGATTTAAAAGAAAAATTAGTCAGACTTTTTAGGTTCTCTTCAGATTGTTATAGTTTCTAACACATATTGTGTTCTTTGGAATCTTTCCTAAGTATTTGAGTATTAATTCAGATAGACAGGAACTACTTTCCAAACATGTTCATTTGCTTTCAGTTTTGCTTGTCATGAAATTGAGTTGGTATTATTTTTGTCATATTTTACATTATTGTTGGAAGTGTGTGGTGACAACTGTTGGCAGGTGTATCTCTTTGACATTTTGATTTACAGGAAACCTAAATGCTTTCGAATGAAAAGATATGGTGCCTCTGTACATATTTGTTGAAAGATGTAACATGTTTCTGTCAGAATTTTATTCCCTTAAAGAAAATGTATATTATAAATATACCATTTGTTTGTGGAGGTCACATTAAAGAAACCACCAGAAGATTTGTTATTCAAGAATTACAGGGAGGAATTTTATTAGGGATAAGAGAAGAAACATGTTCAGAGGCAGGTGGAAGAGATCTGAGTAGAGAGAAAAAAGAAACAGATTTGCCATGGCCAAGGAAGGGTAATAGAGAAGGAAGAATATCAGGAAAGAAAAATGGGGATAACTTGAGTAGGAGAAACTTTGCATTCATAAAGATGGAGAAGGGGACTGTATAGTTAGCAAAGCACAGGAAATGGAGAGGTTTGGAGAGGTACAGAAATCTAGGTGGAGACTTCAAAAGTACAAGTATTTTTACTGCCCAGAATCCATGTTGATATCCTTATAGGAGCCACAGGCAAGAGGCAAGGGAAATGACTGTTATTCTGGACCAGACCAACTTCACAAATATTTTTTGAAAGCTGTAGCGTTTTTTGATTGTTTCTTTGTTTGTTTTTCTGATTTGACAGAGATCTAGTTTATTATAATGGTTTTGATAGCTCACCTGAACATGAGGATTGCGAAAGCAGAAGTCTTTGGCTTGAGTTGTTTAAATTAATAAAATTACACCTTCAGAAGACAGTATACACCAGCTATTCATTTCTAAGTTTTCACCATTCAAAACAGTTTGGAGAAGGGACAATCACTTTAAAAAGAAATTTCTGAGGGAAACTGACATATAGACCAATATAGGAAAGGACACATGTATAAAAAGCAGTCTAAAAATTTTCACTATGGTTAATATTTTAATTTCTCACTATCCTTTCCATTAGCATACCATTTATGTTACAAGTTACAATTCTATTTTAGTATCTCATTTTTATTCATTTTTGAATTTCATACCATATGTTAACTGTTATCATAAGTGTTGCTATAATATTCCTCAGATCTTTATTCTCAACTTTATTTACTGTGTTTTAATATCATGAACTCTTTAAAATTTATTATGAACACTTATCCACTGAATCTTGTTCTGTTAGGTGGAGACCTCTACCAGGAGAATCTTGCTTTTTTTCTATGGAAACAACTTATTAAGGAAAACATGAAAGGAATTCAGCGAACCTTGCTGTGCCAAGGACCGGTGGAAATCACGAGCTACAACAAAAGGAAGAAAAGATATCTATCCTTATTTAATGATGTTTTGGTTGTGTCTAGTAACCTGTGAGTATATGCAACATGTATTCCTTACTATGAGAAACTATACTTTAATTAGGCCTTTTTGTACAAAAATAACCTATGTCCTTTTACTTCTTTTTTTAAAAAGATTATAATTCATTTCTTCATGATTACAATTTCTCTTTCCTCTACCATGGTTTAGGTTTGGTGGACACTCCCCTACATGTTTGTCAATTTGTTTTAACAAAAGTTTTAGACACAATTTTAAAAAAAGAATTATTTAAGGTGCTCTCCTGTTACCAATGTGGTAAGTTTGGCTGTCAACCCTGATCAGTCACTGTAATCTCCCAGCATAGAAAATGGTAGTTTCTGACTGATGCAGGCTCAAATGAAGTGAATGGCCTGGCAGCCTTTCAATCTGTCCATCCTTCTTGTCATTTCTACTCAACTCACCTTCAGTCTACAGATGGAAATACATTTTTAAGAAAGATAGTAATCGACTCATTTGAATTAAAAACTTATATATACTGATAGTGTACCTTTTACGTGTACCTTTTAAGTACCTTTTAAGTGAAATTCACTTTGATTTTTGAGAGTAAAGGAAACTAGAATGACTGTTTTTCTTGAAAGGCCGTCTATTTTTTCCACTTCTGCTGTGTAGTGATAATAGGGAAAACTATTTTGAGAGTGTCATTCACATTATGGAAAGAGCATTATTAGTCTCATAGGAGATGATTGTCATTATTACCATTTTCAAGGAAGATTATCTCTTATTAGGCCTATTGAAATTAGAGGTTTTAGGTTTAGGCATTTCTTCTGAATTATGATTCATATATACACATATATGTATATTATATGTATATGTACAAACACATGTCTTGTGGTGGAAAGAAAATGTAAGTATGAATGTTTCATATGATTGATATATGTGTTTGTATGATTGTGTATAAGTGTGTATGTACACATTCTTTAGTAAATATTATATAACATGCTTTAATTTTGACCATTCCGTGTTATATTACATAGTGTGGAAAATCATTCACTGTAGTATGATGTTTCAAAACATCACACATTTGAAGTTTAGATAGGCTTATATATGCAATTTTTGGATTAGCAATTTTTGGATCAGTGTTTAGTTTTGTGTCATGTTTTCTCCTGAATATGAGAGAGGCAGAGTCAGTATCTTCAGTTTTGAATCAAAATATTAGCTTAAGTGTCCAACACAGAGTTACATACCCAATAACACACACACACACACACACACACACACACACAGACAAACAGAGGTAACATGCAGTCTATCATAAAAACATAGAACAGTCATGAGTCTTGGAAGGATTCTGTCAAAAGAAAAAAGAGAAAATAGAGAGCAACAAAAAAATAATGAGAACCCTTTATGTGAATTTCTCAAAAGACAAACTCCACATAAAAGATATGATGAAAATACAAAAGTTATGCTTATAAGATTATTATTTCTTACAAACAATTTGGTAAGATCAGAATGCTTGATTGGAAAACATAATTCTAATAATTTGTTTAAAATATTGGGATAATTAATCATCCTTTTGTATACTTGTATGGGATGTGCATTGTATATTTACTAAAGAAGCCATTGTAGTGAGCAGATGTGACTTCCTAGTATACAGAGAAGGACAATGGAAAGTGAATTTGATTCAGTCATACAACATTTCCACATTATTTATTTTGGAACAATGATTAAATCGAATTAATTAAAATACAAAATTTTTAACTAACTTTTTTTGGTATGAATTTTAAGGAAATAAAGCAAAATGCTTACAAATTGACAAAATTAAGGGAAGAAACCTTGAAACACATGGCTTTCTAATATTGACATATATACATATATATTAATATGTATATAAATACACACACATATTTATAGTATAGTCATTCACATTCTCCAATCAGAAACAATCAGGCTATGTCAATTTGTGTGCATTGAGAAGCTTGTATCCTCCAGTAACTTCTTCAACACATGATTTGTTGAATTCCATCTACCATGGTTTGAACTGTGTCTGAGTGATAAAATGGAGGAGTCCTCTTCTGCTCTGGGACAGGAAGAACTGGGTATTTCTACAAGCAATTACAACTACAATGCAAATGAAACTAACAGAGATACTTGATTCTCTTTCTAGGAAAAAGAAAAAGTTTAAGATAAAATACATCTTCCCACTGAACAACCTGTGGGTTGTGAATGATGTAGTCCTTTTCAGGAGAAAGGAAAACTGTAGTTCCAGGACCCTTTTCCTCTCATGTTGCGTTGAAAATTTTTTTGCCACCTTTCGGTAAGACCTACAGTTTGGACCTGTATTCACTATAGGATAGCTTTATCAATTGAAGGCCAATTAATGCTTCATAATTCACAGTTTAAACCAAATTAACCAGAATGTTTGCAAAATACAAATCCATTTAAGCCTGATTGTATACAGGTTGCCAACTCAAAATTTTCCCTTATATGATGGTTCTAGTGTGTTTCCCAATTGGGAAACATCACCTTCAGTGTTCACATGCAGAGATTCCTGATCACAGCATCAGAACCAACCCTTAAATATCACCAAGTACCAATAAGTTTTCCTGTGATAATATCACTTTTTATTTTACTGACATTAAATAAGTTATGTATGTGTGTGTGTGTGTGTGTAAGTTGAGGGGTAGAAGCATAATCCACCCTTCTGATAAAAATGGTTGCACCTGGAGAATAGACTGGGTGAACAGTTAATGCAGAAACAAGAATATGCCAGTCTTTGTGCAAGAATGAGTCCATGCTTCCATAGGAAATCAGGTTGAGTTAGACATGTTTGAACCATGGCTAAAGTGAAAAGAAAATTCTGTGAATGGAAGATTTTGAAGCCTGGGTAATTATTTTCAGGAAGAAGAAACAAGGTATACATAATTTACAGATGGAAAAACTATACCTGACATAGAGTTGTGAGCATAGGGAAGAGTAAAAGTGCATTGGGTAAGGGTTGCTGTTTGGACAAGAAAAACATTGAACAACAAGATAATGTTGATGACTATAAGACACTGTGAATGTGTCAAATATTAATGAGTTCTAACTGATTCAACATAGAATTTGCAGTTATAAAATGTTAGCATTGTGAGTTCATCTTTAATCCATTTTAATTTTGAGTATTACATGCTAAAGTGGAATAGTGGTGGGCTTATTAATTTGTATTCAGGAGAGTTAATGGGATGACACACAGATGAAACACTAGTTTCTAGGATCTCCTGTCTTGTATGCTAATTCTGTAATTCCCACAAGGAAATAAACAATATTTATTTTCTTAATAGATGTTCTCCCTGGGTTAAGTGTGTTCTAACCAAAGGTCATATAACTATGTTTTAGTGTGAATAATGGTACATTATTCTATGTGAACATGGCCTCATGATGAGAGGACACTTTTTTTTTCTTTCTTCCTTTCTTTTTGTTGGTATACACCTTTATTTTTTTTAATTAATTTTTTATTGGATTGTTTTTTACATTTTATATGTTATCCTCTTTCTCCATTTCCCCCCACCCAGAAAACCCTTATCCCATCCTCCCCTTTTCCTGCTTCTATGAGGATGTGCGCCAACCCACCCACCCACTCCCACCTCCCTGCCCTCAAATTCCCCCGCACTCGGGCATCCAGCCTTCACAGAACCAAGGACCTCCTTTCCTACCTATGCCTGACAACTAACTATCCTTTTATATATATGAAATTGAAGCTAGAAGTAATTGCTGGCCCAGGGATAGTCACACAGCTTTTGGAACATAGTCAAGTCTTTACATTCCCAACTAGCTTCCACACTCTATTCAACTTCCTGTCATACAAGTGTTCCATGAAACATGTCTTCCAGAAGGGCTGTCATGTGGGGAATACAATCTACCCATGCTCCCTCATTGTGGCCTTGGGTTTATAATGATTTTTATGTGCAATAAGCTTAAAAGTTGTATCATTCTCAAGTCTCTAATCCTGTTTTTCACTTTTAACATTACAGTTCGAAAGAACAGAAAGATCAGTGGTACTATTTTCTGAAAAGGTATTTTACTTGTGATTATACTTTAACTCTGTAACTGATATGGGAATTGCAGTTTGTGCTTTATTTCTTTCTTAAAATTATATTTGGTAGACTGACTCCAAATATGTTGTTGGTTAGATGATCACTGGATACTGCTTTGGTTTTTTCTGTCTATCACATATTTCATTTAATTTTGAGGAAGTTCTGTATTCATTGTTTCCTCTTTATATTGGAGTAAATAGTACTCTTCAGTCTTACTTTAAATTCCACTCTGTAGATGTTACTCTACCATGTCCATCCAAACCATCTGCTACTCTCTGCTTTGAGGTCAAGCAGAGTTTTGCCTTTTCCTTGTGTACTAGTCACTAAACTTTCTCTAGTGCCATGGAACTTATGGACTGTCTCTATGTATTAAGGGAATTTACTGTAATGACTTACATTCTGTAGTCCAACTAAGCCAACATTGGGCAGTTATGAATGGGAAATCAAAAACTCTAGCAGTTGTTCAGTCCATGAGGCTAGTTTGTTTCACCTGATCTTCTGTATAAACTGGAATCCCGAAGAAGTAGCTATCAACAGATGTTCTGGCAGTAACTTCAAGCAGGCAAAGAAGAGTGAGTCTGCCTTCTGTCAGTGTCCTTATGTAGACCTCCATCAGAAGGTGTGTACTGCCGGGACCTTGCTTTGTCCCAGGCAGACCTTGCACTCAGAGATCCACTTCCCTCAGTCTCTTGGGATATTAATCCCATTGGTGGGTGTGCCAATTCTACCTTGCTGGGGCCTAAGCAATTCAGGGCACCTATGCCTCAGGATCTCCATGTCAATATCCAAGTCAAAAGCCTGTGTCTTCCAGCCTCAAGATTTGGATTACAGGTGTGCCTTCCATTTCTGGATTGTAGTTCAATCAGATGTAGTCAGTTGACAACAACCTTGCAAACAAAAAGCTCTGAGGACAGGCTGTGCTTCCTAGATCAATGTGCTATTACCTGACTGTGGCTTGGGTTCTGAAACATTTTTAAATATTCCTTAATCCAATAATGCATATTGATAAACTGATTGTCTTGTATTTAACACTAAGATGGTACTTATAAAATATTAACAGTGACTAGCTTAAAAGAAGCTACTAGCAAATTAATTTTACTATGTTTTGTGTTTTTATTGTATTTGATCAGATCCATTCATAAAGCCAAGAAGGGTATCAAGAAAACTTTCTCACTGCAGATATTCACCGAGAATGTCCCAACCTGTGACAGTGTACGTGAATATAAATTCAAAACTGATAGTTCAGTTCATGACTAGCAGAGAGAGGCAATTTGTAGAATAATGGAAGATGGAAACATAAGAAGAGGGTGGAGGGGAGAGATAGTAAGAATTTACATATATGGAACAGCTATAGGTGTATGGCATGCACACATGTGTCTTTTATATGTGATATGGAGAAAGAAATATGAAGCAAGGTTGATCCATATGCTAAAGCAAGAAAAAAGAAGCAATATTTTTTCTTAAATGACTAAAAATTAAGTCAGGTATTTGCAACAGCATACATTTCCAAGCCAAGTATTATTATTAGAATTAAGCTGCTTTATCCTCTGAGTTCTTATTTCTTATATACTAACTTATGTGTTATCCAAATATCATTTATTTTAAAATATTTCTGTTTAATCAAAAATAATTATATAAGATAATCATAAATAATCTTAAGGAAAGCAAAATATTAGCAAGAATTTGTTTCCTCTCCTCATCCACATGTATCATAACTTTTTATCTCTATACCTCTGTCCTCTGCTCTCTCAGTATGTGTCTTACTCTGCATCCTGACACCTGCTTTGGAAGGCCCAGCACCTAATCATGGCTCTTGATGCTCTTCTTTATTTGAATGTTCTAGGCACAGGGATATCTTTTCTTGTAACTTCTGTTTAGAAATATTTTCATTGACTTACCATTGGTGTGTGTGTGTGTGTGTGTGTGTGTTCATATGTGTGTACAGAGCTTAAAATATCTCATGACATCACACATACTACATAGTAGTTTTATCATTGAGTTACACACACAGCTATTAAATACTTGTCTGTTTTTCTAATACTTATATTATTGTTCCATTTTCACTATTGGCTTTAGTGCAGATCAGAAATTTAGCTGTTGTACAACATGCAGAGCATTGAAGACCATTCCTACTGTAAAGCAGAACAGAATGTAGCTCAGAGGATCACCATCTGTAAATTGTCTTTTATGAATGGTAATGGGTGTAATATGTACCTATAGTCAATATTCGAACATGTCACTTTTGAAATTGCACTAAATTTACCGAGATGTGTATAATGATCACCACACAATTTGATCTTCCTACTTTCTTTTCTTTTTTGTCATTGATTTACATTTAAAATTCCAGATTTTATTCCTCTCATCCACCCTCCAACTCTTCCCCATCCCATACCTCCTCCCCATCCCCTGTCTCCATGAAGATGTCTCCACCACACACGCCCACACGCAGCCAGACCTCCAAACTCCCTGGGGTCTCTAGTCTCTTGAGGGTTGGGTGCAACTTCTCTGACTGCACCCATTCCCAGCAGTCCTCTGCTGTATATGTGTTCCTGTCCTCTTATTAGCTAGTATATGCTGCATGGTTGGTGGTACAGTGTTTGTGAGATCTCGGGATTCAGATAATTTAAGATTGCTGGTCCTCCTACAGGGTTGCCCTCCTCCTCAGCTTCTTCCAGCCTTTCCCTAATTCAACCTCAGGGGTCAGCAGCTTCTGTCCATTGGTTGGGTGTAAATATCTGCATCTGGCTCTTTCAGCTGCTTGTTTGGTCATTCGGAGTGTGTTCATGCTAGGTCCATTTTTGTGAGTATTCCATACCCTCAGTAATAGTGTCAGGCTTTGGGACCTCCCTTTGAGCTGGATCCTACTTTGGGCCTGTTGCTAGGCCTTCTTTTCCTCAGACTCCTTTCCCTTTCTATCCCTGCAGTTCTTTCAGACAGGAACAAATATGGGTCAGAGTTTTGATCGTGGGATGACAGCCCCTTCCCTCTCTTGATGCCCTGTCTTCTTGCTGGAGGTGGGCTCTCTAAGTTCCCTCTGCCTACTGTTGGGCATTTTATCTAAGGTCCCTTCCTTAGGGTCCTGAGAGTTTCTCACCTTCCAGGTCTCTGGTGCATTTTGGAGGATCCCCGAACTTCCTACCTCCTTAGGTTGACTGTTTCCATTCTTTCTGTTGGCCCTCAGGGCATCAGTCCTTTTCCCTTGTCCAGTACCAGATCAGGA